GACGTTGTCGTAGGTTGAAGAATATCCAGTCTTTGTGTTAGTTTTCACCATCAGCGACATTCTCAGCATTTTGAATTTACACATTGAAGAATCGACATGGACTCATGCGAATTCGTACATCGGCCCACCCACCGCCTCAAAATGTGGCGCGTCTATCCTTGTTCAAACTCGGAAATGTTCAGTTCACCTACTTATGCATTCCAAATAGATGTCGTATTGGGATATAACATCGATTACTCTCGTAATGTTGGAACTTCTCCGTCAACACAACTCGGACAGATAAGCACTAATACACTCGTTATCGAGACATCATGCAATGCATGCAGAGGTTGTATTAAAGAAGATACTCATTCAAGACTTCATCAACCAAAATCGGCTACGAACTAGAAATCAGAGTAGTCTGATAGTCGGTCGCCTTAATAGTAATGGTCGTAGATCGCCGTAGTGGAACCGGGCAATGACATTGTCCGACTCGTTTCGATCTCTGCCGCATGAGGCATTCAAGTGGAAGCAGCAAGTGAAGTCTTCTAATACTCGCTATACAACCAGGGAAAGTTGTGGGGCACTTGGTGTCCCAGTTGATAGTGGCGCCCATAACGAATGTGTTGGTCTAAGAGGCTCTGAGGACGCAGACAAACGTCAATGAACGACGAGAAACTGAGACTAACACATGACGTCGAACAACTTGTTGTGTATGCGTGCAGTTGCTGTCACGTAATTGTCCCTTTTAGGTTTATAATTGTCGGTAAGATGCACAAGGATTATTACAACCGACATTCCGTCTCCTGTGATTCCACAATAACGTGATTATCTCCAACGAACCCGATAGATGTATATAAACGATTTGGTCCCTTCTGTCAATGTGCTTGCACGCGTGCGCAGATTTTTAACTGATCGTGTAGCGAAGCGAAGCAATTAATGTTATGCATATTTGAATCTCAGAAACCAGGCTCAAGGGACATCATGTAGAGCTAGAATGAACACTGAGTGTGGCATAGGGAGATGTTGGACTAGTAATGGGGTCATCGACCTACTCGTTCCGTATGAATGGTGACTCAAACTTCATCCCTCACAATGGTACTCTCTCTTGCAGTTCCTGGTCGAGTCGACTGGTGATAATGACCCTGTAAGAGGCGACAACTTAACAAACATAGTCTCACAAGTAGAACAAGGCAGTATTAGAGATAGTCACTAATGACGACACTGTGCTACTGCTACATCTCAACAACAACATTGTACGCGCTACGCAGTAGTCGTGAAGTATGTTTCTCACTAGTGTTTTCCATATCACGGGTGGTGAGACTCCATTATAATGTGTGTGTGATTTTGAATGACAAATTATAGTGAACAAGTTGTCGCTATCATAAACTTTGATCACAATTGCATGTTCACAGCTATCGTTACAATGAGGTTTCACCCGTTTCACGTGAAGTGACGTAAAACTCGGTGAAAAACACGATATTCGCAACGCTATGCAGTGGTATGTAAAATATGTCCCCTCACTAGTGTTTTCCATATCACAAGTGAAACTCCATTGCGATATAGTTTTACATTGATTCTCATTAATCTCTTCAAATAACGCACATTTGCATCATATCATATTGGCGCACACTACTCTGAGTGATGACTACAGTACTACTAATAACATCTTGATGTTAGTCATGTTTCTGAGTCCCTGGTTGGGTTCGTTGGGTTTTGTGATGACGAGTGTGATGATGTGCTTCTTTGCATCTTGGCAAGCCCGAGTTGATTACTACTACTACCCCACTGTGATTTCGCCTCGAGAGCTCATCCTTTCAAAAGCAGGCTCTACTACTATGATCTAAAGGTAGTTTGGGAGGAGGCAACACCGAATGGGGAATCATACTGAGGTTGGAGTTACTATTCTTAAATTTATCATAACTCCATCAACGCGGTAATTGTCATAACTCAATTCTCATCATCATTCACATTAATACAATTCACATTTGATATCTCTCAATGGAGCCCTCAGCTGCTAGTGAGCTGAATACTCTCACGCCGAATGATATGTGGTATAATATTTTTAATTATTAATTTCTCAACATATTATTGTTTCGAATTCATACCTATCCATTGGGGTTTCACAACAACCCGTTTTACGTTGAGTGGCGTAATAATCAGTGAAAAACGCGATATTCGCACTATGCAGTTGCCGTGATTCTCCACTAGTATTTTTCATGTCACAGGCGAAACTTTAATACTATACAATATCAGTACTCTCCTCCAAATTAATAATAATCATCATTTTCGTATTCCTCAGACGTACAATAGAGTTCCACCCGTGATATGAAAAACACTAGTGAGAAAATCATCGTTGTCATTTTATTTGGAGATTCCCCGCTAGAGGGACTTCCGTTATCGAGTTTCTCTTAACACGGTCTTAGAATCCCACAATAACTTCTATTGGAATTCGCAGTTGACCGAAACTGTGAGGAATTTGAAGTGAAGAGTGATGTTGAAAATATATTATAAATCAAGTTAAATTAGTTATAATATAACTATTTTACTAGTGCTTTTAACGGAATATTTCATTGGAAACGGTATTGAACACCGAAATCAAACTGAGTAAAAGTAGGGGGAAAATTACGATCGATATTATTTTGCGGTTTTTTTTCAGTGAATAGTAATGGTTTACAACAAAAAAATATTTAAAAAGTCTCAGCAATATTTTTTTCACAAGGGTTATTCATATCATGGATGAAACTCCATTTTTTCGATTCTAAAGATTTTCCCGCCAATTATTTCTTTTCAATAATTCCCTTTAAACCCACAAGAGTAATTTTATTATCAGACTTCGCGGGCTACCAGCAGTAGTTGACTTTGCGGCGATACGATGCCTCGACTAGGGGGGGGGGGGGTCATCCAAAATAAACCCCTTGGTGTCTATGGACTTGATGATCGACCATTCAGTTGTAGCTGATTATTCGAGAAATGCACAAGAGAGGGTAAGCATGGGGGGAGGGGGTATATTAGGTTATGATCCATTATTATAATCTACTAGAAGGGAGTTTCAAAATCCGTTTTACGTGAAGGGCCGTGATGATACTCTGTGAGAAATCCGATATTCGCGGTGATATGCAGTGGTGGTAGAATTTGTTCCTAATTAGTGTTTTTCATATCATCGGTAAAACTCCAATGTAGTGTGTTATATCGTCGATACCCGACAACTTATGTACAATAACAGCCTGGTAGTGGGGTGGTTGTCGATGTATACCTGATCAAAGCTGATTTGGTGAAGTTTGTTGAGGAGTTGGGATAATACTGGCTTTGGTTGTGTGACATGTATTAGTGGCAGCAGTGGCTATCCGAGGTAGTTGTTAGGAATAAGGTGGGAAAATGGTGGTTGCACTATGATATGTCACATAACAATCACTCTCAAAGTTATACACATATCATGTGTATAATAGTCCCTATAGGCTGAGTTCGAGTGCATGACTTAGGATGAGAGGATGGGTTCCGAAAAGAAGAAGGGGGAATAGGGGGGGGGGGGGTGATTTTCCTGCCGTAGCATCTTGTATGTGGGGTCTTTTATGGACGTTTTGTAATGATGTCGATGGTGGTTAAGAGGACGATGTCACCCGTGTAAAAACGCCCGCTTCGATCAACTGAATCACCTAACGATTATAATGATAGTGGATAAATGAGCCTATGTTCGCTATGGTGACGACTTGTAGGAAAATGTTTATATACTACCTCGTCAGAAGTATTGAATAATCCCGTATGTCAAAACTCAAGGGTGAAATCCTTCCAGTGCTTATCAATCGTTGATCCTCAACCTGGCTCCACAGCCTTCCTTGAGGCTCACGAATATCTCCTGTTCGCCATGCCTAACCTGCTGCTA